GGGCCATGGAGTCTCCATTTCCTTGAGGACCCAGGAAATCACCCCCAAAGAAATCAGTGGAGAGCCGCTTACAAAAACCCCATCTTCTTTATTTTATTTTATGAAGCTGTTTGTATTTTTTTGTTTATTTTATTTTTATTTTTGATTTTCTTAAAGGGTGTTTTTTCATTGATTTTAGAGAGAGTGGGAGAGAGAGAGGGAGAGACAGAGAGAAAAATTGATGTGAGAGAGACACATCCATGGGTTGCCTCCTGCACGCGCCCCGACCAGGGCCCGGGCCGGGGAGGAGCCTGCAACCGCGGTCCGTGACCTTGACTGGAATCGAACCCGGGACCCTTTGGTCCGCAGGCCGACGCTCTATCCACTGAGCCACATCAGTCAGGGCACAAAAACAGCATCTTAACTTTGGAGGGAGGGGGAGAGGGGGTTGAAGAGGGTAGGATGTGCTCAGAGCCCATCATTGCAACCCCAGCTGCTCATTATAGTAACTCGAGGTGCTTTAGAGACGACGGGTCGGCCGGCGTGGCTCAGTGGTTGAGCATCGACCTAGGAACCAGGAGGTCAGGGTTCCATTCCCGGTCAGGGCACAGGCCCGGGTTGTGGGCTCGATCCCCAGCAGGGGGCCTGCAGGAGGCAGCTGATAGATGTTTCGATCTCAGCGATGTTTCTATCTCTCTCTCCCTTTCCCTTCCTCTCTCTCTAAAAATAAAAAAAAGAAAAGAGCCCTAACGGGTTTAGCTCAGTGGATAGAGCGTCGGCCTGCGGACTGAAGGGTCCCGGGTTCGATTCCGGTCAAGGGCATGCACCTTGGTTTCGGGCTCGATCCCCAGTGGGGGGTGTGCAGGAGGCAGCTGATCGATGTTTCTTTCTCATCGATGTTTCTGACTCTCTATCCCTCTCCCTTCCTCTCTCTCTAAAAATCAAGAAAATTATATTAAAAAAGAAAAGAAAAGAAACTACTGGGGCTTGGGTCCCTCCAACAGATTATGAGGGTGATTTCACTGGTTTGGGGTGTGGCCTGGGCATGAGGACTTCAAAACACTTCCCTCCACCCTGGCCAGTTTGCTCAGTGGTTAGAGCGTCAGCCTGTGGCCCGAAGGGTCCCGGGTTCAATTCCAGTCAAGGGCATGCACCTCAGTTGCAGGCTCCATCCCTGGCCCCAGGTGTGCGAGGCAACCAGTCGATGTGTCTCTCTCACATCAATGTTTCTCTCTCTCTCTTTCTCTCTCTCTTTCTCGCCCCCTCCCTTCCACTCTCTTTAAAAATCAATGGAAAAATATCAAAACAAGCCCAGCAGTTTGCAGGTGGAAGGAAAATGAGAGAGGGACCAGGGGTGAAGGAGAGGCCCAGAGAGAGAAAGCAGAGGAAGCCACCGGGGGGGAACTGCTGTCCAGGTTGGAAAGATCAGGAGGCCTTCATGGAGGAGGTGGCATAGCAAACGGATTCCTTCCACTCTCTTTAAAAATCAATGGAAAAATATCAAAACAAGCCCAGCAGTTTGCAGGTGGAAGGAAAATGAGAGAGGGACCAGGGGTGAAGGAGAGGCCCAGAGAGAGAAAGCAGAGGAAGCCACCGGGGGGGAACTGCTGTCCAGGTTGGAAAGATCAGGAGGCCTTCATGGAGGAGGTGGCATAGCAAACGGATTCCTTATTCAGTTAATCTACACTAATAAAAGAGAAACATGGTAATTAGCGTACGACTGCTACCCTTCCCATTGGCTAATCAGCATATCCTTATGCAAATTAACTGTCAGCCAAGATGGCGGCCGGCAGCCATGCACTGAAGCGAACAGGAAGGCTTGCTTGCTCCAGTGACGGCGGACTCCAACGTTCCCCGCCTGACTTGCCGGCCTCTCAGCT